TGCGGCAGATGGGGCAGGTGATGTTGCGTTTGCGCAGCAGCTGGAGGAGCTGCATTGCGCTCCTTAGGCCAAGCACAAATGTTCCATCCCTGCCCTTTCCCAAGGAAAGGAAATTTGCTCGGATGGCTTAATGCAGCCTCATTAAGAGAGCTGGAATGACCTTGACTCCAAGGTGGTATCAGGTGACCCCATCCAGACATCCACGCTCAGTGGAGTGCTGAGGGTTACTCTCATGAAAAGAAACAATTTTGACAACTCGCGACACTGACACTGCGACCCACAACGACGGTGGGTCGTGCATGCCTTGAATTTTGCGTTAGGAACTTTCACTGAAACCCATAATGGCATTGCAGCAGCTGTTGGTAGTATTGATGACTGGTGAATCCAGCAGCCACACCGTTTGTGCTATGGCTTTTGGAAAGTGATCATTAATGTTACATCTGCCCTTTCAAAGGCCTCTGAAGACCTTCTCAAACAGCATTACATTGACCTCAAAGACCGACCGTTCTACCCTGGTTTGGTTAAATACATGAACTCTGGACCTGTTGTGGCCATGGTAAGCAGCTGGACTTTAAGTAAAGATTGCTTTCTCAAGTACATTTGTCTTGCTCTGTAAGTTATTTTAAAATACTGAGATATACTGTTACAGAAACATTTTTTCAAACTACCCAGTTCTGAGAGTGGCAAAACAAAACCAAAATTAAGACAACCACGTAAGAAGTTAATATTTACTAACATGAAGGAAAGCGTGCATTTATAAAATGCATATTAAAACCTTTTGTTTTGAAAAAAAAAAAAAGTCAAGGCTCTCCCACAGAAATCTGTCTTCTGTGTCATTCTTTTTTGCCCAAAACCAATATAATTGCCCCAGTAGCATCTCCTTTGGTCTAGGAGCGCCTGTTCCTCATCAGGCTGTCTCTGCCCTAAACCAGAAAGGTTTTGAAGTTGTACACATCAGTTAAATCTGAGGCTTGGTGAAGTGTCTCTACTGGAGTGACAATGCTGATGGTCCTTTTTATAATCACTTCTAGTTTGTATGTTTTTTCCCTGGTTGTCTTTACAGGCCTAAGAACGAATCTAGGCTAGATTAATTTTTGCAAAGAAACAAAAACTAACTCAAAGTATGTTATTGGCAAAGATTAATCTTGGATATTTTGTATAAGCATGGATTAAGAGGATTTGTTTGTCTTTTTTCCTGAAGGTATGGGAAGGACTCAACGTAGTTAAAACTGGGAGAGTAATGCTAGGGGAAACAAACCCTGCAGACTCCAAGCCTGGTACCATCCGTGGTGACTTCTGCATTCAAGTAGGAAGGTTTGTGCTCCGTTTGTTGTTAAATTTTGAGACTAAAAACTCTTATTTTAGGAAGTTGAAAGTTCTTGTTAGATACTGTAGTCTGATGGTATTTTATTTGCAGGTTGCAATCGATAACTGCTACTTAAGAAAATGGCTTGGTACAAAACTGCCTTTTTTTTGAAATAACAGCCACTCACCAGAGCTTCATGTAAGAACAGTCTGTGGCAGTGGTGGTTGTAGCACAGTAGCCCTTGTCACCCTGCTAGGCTTAACAAGCTCCTGTAGTGGGGGTATTGGATCAGTGTACCTGGAAGAGTAGTCTCTCAGCTCTAGATGCTTCACCCATGTTTGTGCATGTGGAGAATAGGTTGTTGAAGGTGTATTTTTGTATCAAACAAGGTGTTTGTCTCCTTCCGCAGAAACATCATTCATGGCAGTGACTCCGTGGAAAGCGCACAGAAGGAGATCAACCTGTGGTTCAAACCTGCAGAGCTCATTGACTTCAAATCTTGTGCACATGATTGGATCTATGAGTGAAATGAGTTTCCACAACGAATTGTGCCTTCGTAACACATCATCTCATTCCAGCTATTGACCTGGGAGCAATTACGACCGCGGTTATCTTACTCATTCTCAGCACTGTCAAATAAATGGATGATATGAACTAATTCGTTGTGTTGCATTCACTATAAACCAGACTACTGTGTTCAGATATTCACAGAAGTCACTTTACTCAGCCCTTCAGCATATTCCTCCTGTAGAAAGAATCATTGAATACAAACTTCCTTGTACAGGCCTATCAGAATAAAAATTCAGTAACTTTTGCTCATGGCAAAGTTGCTTTTAAGGCTACTGAACTACATCACAGTTGCAAAGCCAACTTACAGATGGAGAGTTGAAGGGATGCTTGAGCTGCTTCCAACATAGCAGAACTCTACTACCCCATAACAAAATTTCCCTCCCTACCATTAATACCAACTGTGAAATGAGACCGAGTGCAAAGCTTGCTCTCTATTAAATGCTTACCTAATTCCATCACCTTTTCATATTAAAAACTGTACCTCGTGATCAAAGCCTCGCATGCTTTTTTTTTCCTCAGATTAACCCAGCTACTCAAAACATGCATGGTTTTACAAGTTGTGGATATGTTTTTCATCTCTTAGGAGATAAACAAGCTGGAATGCATTCAATGCCAAGGAGTGCCTGTTAAACAAAACAACCACTATTCAAGAAAAAGACTTTTAATCATTTTTATTTTGTGTAAAAAAGGCAAATTTAGTGAATTATTTTCATCTTGTACACAAAGTTATAATTTTAATGCTTTTCACATCCATGCTGAAAATCTGCAGTCTCGTAAAAATGAAAGTAACATTAATTTCTCCAAAAGCATTTTTTCACTTAGTTATGTACATTGCATGAGAAAGCTTTAAATGCTCTCTCATTGACCACACAAATTACCAAGAAAATAAAAGATTAAATTTGTACAGATACTGATCTATATATCAAATACATACAGAAATGATGTAAAAACCCTATTTGTTTCATCTTGATTCCCGCCCCAACATTGTCCCAGGGGCCAAAGCTGATGCCTTTTTTGTATAAACGGCTGTGGCTTTTTGTTTTAAATACGAAAATTAAAAGGAAGAAAAACTCTGTTTAAATCACAGTTTTTTTAAAATCCCTTCCCAATAAAGGATTGTTACCAAATATATTAGCACCATCGTACAAATATTGATGGGAGAGGGTATTCACATCACATAAAACAACAATAAAAAAACAAACAAACACTGAAACCCGTGTTAGTATCCGTAGAACAAGGAATTGGTAACTGCTTTAGCTTTCCTCAGATGCAGCAAGGAAAAGGTTAAAGACTTGTATTTAAAATAACAAAAATCAAAGATCAGCAGAAGGATTTTGAGCAACAAAAGACGGGTAGCTGCAAAGTAAGGTACATAACTCACACTACATTATGGTTACAAAAACCTGCTATGCCAAATACTGAAATTAGTTTGACCCCATTGAAGATTTCAGGTGTCCAACACTCTGCTGCTCTTTTAGCCAAGTAACATGGCTTAGAGTAAAACGAAGATAAAACCAGCCACAGCCACATTACTAACAAAAGCTTTACAAATACAGTGAAGCCTACACTGTGGGTACCACCGCCAACGGGTGGCCCACTCTGATGAGACCACTCTAAATACCTGGTAGAATTTTGCTCTGTTTTTCCTTAAACCTCTCCTAAGCAAGTGACTTCAGGTCGTTCCTTAAGTGGTGTGCTCCAGACAGATTTCACTGTACTCGATGCTTAAACAATTTAGGTATATTTTGCATTCAGAAACGAGAAATTTCACCCATAATCTCAGCATGCAACTCCTACTGAAGTCACGTGTATCTGAGAATGAGAGTCAACTCTCATACTTTAGTGTTTAATGAATAAAATACCTATTTTTAAAGAACATCCTGAAGACTGACAGACTTCAAATCAGATTCTTACATTTCTCCAACACAAGAAGTGTGTTCAACTTAAGTGCTAATTTTACCTCCTGACATTTGAAGTCTGTAACTCAGGGATCAGGTACGAGCCTGGGCGATACACGCAAGCCCAAGGTTCAGTGACTTGACAACATACCTTGCTCGTTAACTACCCAATTCTCACATTATGAAACACAAATTAATGCAACAGTCTTTCTACTGGAGTCAGAATCTATTGATCAGAGGAGAAAGCAAGTGTGCCAACCTTGTTCCAGCTGACTGGGACAATCTGCAAGTTGCTGCATTAAAAAATAAAATAATAATAATAAAAAAGACCAACAGTGATGTACTTACCAAACAAAATCAATGCTTGCAGAGCTGGATTTTACAGCAGGTTAAACGGAGAACTCAGGAAAAAAAAAAAAAAAGGAAATCAACAAGGCTCAAAGTGTCATTACAATGGTCTCTAATCCTACTTGTCTCCAATCCAGGATGTTCAAAAGAAATGTCATGGGTGGGTCAGAATCTGAGAGAATATATTTGAAGTCTACCAAGCCTGACAAAGTCCTTTTTATGGCTATTTTGGAGAGCTAAAATGTCTTCACTGCCTGAAGTTACAGATACTTATAAGCTGATAACCAGATTCTGTCAATATAAGAAGCTGTTGTTAAAAAGGGGTCATTATTTAAGAAATTTTACCAGTAAGGGAGAAAAGAATTCCAGACATTCCTACACTATACAGGACAATTTTACTTCCAGTAGTAAATACAAAACTTTACATAATCAACTCCTCTTGCATAGAATGAGGTAAACCTGTGCATATTACCAATACTATGTACCCAAAGTTAGAGCAATATTTTAGAAAATAATCAAATTGCTGGTTTTCAACTTTCTATGCATTTTTTTTTTTTTTAAGCTCAAACAACAATATACAAAAATGGTCTCCTGGGGCTCTGTGGGTTGATATCCTTAAAGCATTTCTTAGGCTGCAGGAACACAGGTGTTAATCATTTTGATTAATTCTTCAAGCCCCAATTTATGGTCAAGACTCAAATGATCATTGTACTGCTCTGAAAGGGACCTGCTAAGACCCAGAAGCACTTATAGAACCTATGCAGTTAATTCCTGAGAGTTTAGTTAATGAACCTTACTGGTAAAAGCTAAAGCTCTTGATGCACATTTTTCCAGTCACAGCTCTGCAGGGCTGATTAGTAAAATGATTAATCAACTCCATGAATGACATCATTTACAAAAACGTACAAAGTTTAAAAAGACGGAAAGATAAAATCCAAATTACTAAGAGCTCATGATAAAATATTCATATTTTACTGGTGGTCATTTTCACCCTTTCACATAACTTTTGCCTTTAGAAAATCTGTACAGTGAAGCACGTGGGGCTAATGGGACACTTGAGTGAGACACAAGGATTCCAGACAATAAGCAAATCCAGTTTATGAATTCTATACTAGACAGTATATGATTTATGTACTGTTCTTGAGTCTCAACTTCCATATTACACTATTGCTGCAAGAAAAGAATACTGCAGGCTGTGCAGAATTGAACTCTCTTTTTTTTAATCTGCAATGTATGGCTCCTTTTAGCTCACCTGAAACCATGTGGAACATCAGTTTTGAATGTTCAGAAATAAATATTTCAGATGGTAAGGAAACATCTAGGTCTTTCTGAATGGAAAAAAAAATAACCAGAAGAACACCCAGAAATTCCTTCCTACTACCAAGGGAGGCCTGAGTTACTGTCCATCTAAGCTTCTTCTTTAGTCTAGATCCATAGCTAAAATTAAACTTCCAAATAAGGGAATTTTCTGAAGTTCCAGTTTGGCATAATGCTCTGTAAACATATGCTGAAGCATTCCAAGACTACAGACATTCATGTACAGACAAGAGCTTTACAGTCCCAATCCAATGCCCGCTGTAGTCAATGGAGACAAGGCTACTGATATTAACGGGCACTGATTCAGACCATAAGGAACTTATTTTTTTCTTAAAAAAATCTTATATTAAAAAAAAGTATTTTAAACTAAATAAAAACGTCTTGAAAAGTTAAAATCTTCCTCAGGTGATGGCTCCATTGCAACTGGGGCTACTCACTGAGTAGAGCTTTACAGGACTATCTTCCCCATACAACTTATGCCTCTAAATTAGGGCTTAAATGCTGTATTTTCACAATAAAAAACCCAGAGGCGTGACCAGTGCAGTTCACAAGAGTCTAAAAGTCTCCCAACTTGTACCAAAAAGGTTCATTTGTTATGACAGTTCATTTGTATTTGCAACTGTATCTTCCTCCAACCGCTTCCCACAATCATGCTAATTAAACTTTTAATCTTACCAAAAAATTAGAATTTCAGTTCTTGTTAACAATGCACAATAAATCTGAACTTGAAAATATTACAAAATTCTTTCAAAAGCTTCAAATACAACACAAAAGTGTCCATTTTTGTTTTTAATAAATTGAAAAATCTTTTTCACTAAAATAGTTTCCCCGTCCTTCCAAAAAATTCTGAACTGAGTCTAACTCATCTACAGTTAGCAAAGTGCCCCAGGTACAGTCACCTGAACTGTACCATCGAAGTGGGAACAAAATCAGTCAGTCTTGGAGAAAGGCTCTTTTCCCATCACCAGTACTCTGCCCCTCACTCTTCTGAGCTGCCTTATGGTTCCTGTTTGATGTAGTAACTGGCAGATCCGTTGCTTTCCTGATCAGATGCTCCTTGAAGGAAGCTGTACTCTTCTCCATCTAGCAACTCCTCCTTCAGCTGCAATGAAGTCACTAAAAACAAAAGATGAACGTTAAAGATCTATAAAATTCAAAGCAAGTACAATTTTTCCTGAAATATACTTAATATTATTCAAATTGGGAACAGACCCCAGATTTCCCATTTCCTGCACTTTAGTGATTCTTTAAACACTCAATATCCCACAGAAAGCAGATGCTTTTGGAATGAAAGTTTAACCTTAAGTGATGCTCTGCTATTAACATATTTGAAAAAATTGCTTACAATAATATCTTCTCTACAGGGCTTTCTCAAGAATTTAGTATTTTAAAACACTGGTTTAAGACAGAAACTGAACATGTTAATAGGAATAACAACTGTTGCTCAGAAGAACACTTATTTTTACTGTTTACCGTTTACTTTCTATTTAGTCTTCACAGAAGAAAAAATAAGATTAAATGTTGG